TGCTGTTTGTATGTCTAAACCTTTATATTCGATTAGAATAAATGAAAGACTGCCTACGTATGCCCTTCACTTGTCTCTTGTTGCCAATTGTTGCAAACAACCTAGACCTAGGTGCAAAAGTAGAACCTTAAATCCTGTACTCTGTTCCATTTATCTAACCTATTCAGGGCGGTCAGACTTGTTTCCGGCAAATACAATGAAGGCTTTGTCATAGTTACATATACATATATATATATGTATATATACATATATACAGTTAGTAAAATTAAAAACAAAGTTTGTCTAATGTGTGTACATTCCATCTCAAGAAGGATGCAATTATCTTGTTCATGAAAGTAAACGTGACATGAGTAGAAAGGGAAAAATTAACTAAATCCTTGTCTCGTTCGAACTAATGAAAAACAATGGTTGCGGCTTCAAATTTCAAGTGCGTTACAGATTTTCAATGAAGCCGATAAGACTTTAGTCTTAGAGTTTATTTCTTTGGGTAACAAAAAAAAAAAAAAAAAAAAAAAACAATTGAAAGCATGATGCCGGGCTAAAGACAATCATTATATACTCTATACCATCCAACAGTTATTCATATAATGCCTGATTATATAGTCGTAAAACGGCTACTTTTAAAAATAAGGCGTTATAAAGCGTATAAGGGGAGTGGCCAAAGAAGTGACCCGATCTGCAACATTTTCAGTGGTGTCCGTCCCTGGACCAGTGCGCCGAATTGCATGAAAATATTTGAAAAATTGCGGCGTGGAGGTTGAACACAAGACGGACAGGCAAGCTTAGATCGATTGAGTTGATCGGTTTAGTAAGGGGTGAGTCTATCTCAAGTCCTTCTGGATTTTGCATACTTTTACCACAAATAGTGTAGGATATTGAAAAAGGATTGGAGTTTTCGGCAAACGATCTTTGTATCTACATAAAAAATTATTTGAAAATCTTTATATAAAGGCGTGGCATACTTAATGTGCACCGCGCTATATCGCAAATTTTGTACTATATTGTATCTAAAAAACCATGGTTCACAAGAGCCGTGCTTAACGGAGAAGGCCTGCAGATAGGAACATGCAAATACATTTCTACATAGAGTCTTTTATTAAATGTTTTCTTCTATATTTACACTTTTCTTTCTCTTGTCTCACTTTTACTATTTAATTGGTTTAATAGAAACTGTCATAACAATGTAATAAATTTACTTCCTCACTCACCCGTTACTCGACTATTTTATATTAATACGATGCATGCATACCATCGTTTAATATTGTATGTGTACGTGTTTTCTGTTTCTTTTTATGTAATATTTAAATAAATAAATGACAACAATTTATTGAATTTACAACCTGTGGTTATTAATGACAATGCTCATGTACTTATTCAACTTGGAGCGAACTTTTGTTTATTTATTTATTTGTTTTTTTTTTTTTTTTTTTTTTGCTTCACTTTGTAAATTTCTTTCATTTTTTGTTATTTGTCGTCTTCGTTAATTTTTAATTACCGAACGGTTAAATGTAATTTTTATTTGATAGCCGATTAATTAACATCAGATACATACTAAAATACAAATTAACAAATATTTACATATAATAATTAAAATTGCCCGTAAATAATTTCCGCCTATAGATATGTTTTTTTCTTTATAAAGTAAATGAACAGTAGTTTCGTAATCGAGTTAATTGAAAACTTCGTATTAAAGCACTTTTCAATTTCGGTGTTATTCGTGCTCTCACATAAGCGGCAAACCTAATGATTTGTGAACAACGTGATTTGTGGAATAGCAAACTGAAAAAGGTAAACCATCGTTTGAAGTATAAATCGTGAGATCTACTGGCATTCTTAGATAGAAATGTCACAAATTGCATGGGACTATTACATATGGGTCAATAATTCTAATTCCGCAAACAATTCTGCTCCCAGCACAACACCACTATGAATGTCACACACTATAACGCCCTTAAATTACTTACGCCACTGCCGATTTTTCAAAGCAAGACGTTGCATGGGAAGTGGTCGAAATAGTGGCTCTACCTGATCTATTTGCAAAAGCGTTCGTTCTAGGACCAAAATACGCCAGCGGACTACACACACAAGGCCACAACACAGGCAGACAAGCTTAGATCGATTCGAAAAATTATTCAGAAATGATAATAAACCGAAATTCAGAAAATGATTCTCATTCGATCGGTAAAATAAATGGTGGGACTAGTTCAACTCTTTCTAGGCGTTGCAAAAAACCGACACGAACTTAATGCGCTCTTGTACTACAAGTGGTGTAGGGTACGAAAAGGTACAGCATTATAAAACGACTACTTGTACCAAGTTTGTTATAAGATATGTTTATTCGTGATTTCGAAAAGGATCCTGCCTAAGATTATTATGTCTTTATCCAAAGTGTTTTACGTAGCAATACAATTGATTGATTGAGGCATTGAGGCTACTAAATGGAATAAAAATAAGCCAAAGCTTTGAGGTCAGTGCAAACGCATTGATAATTTAAACTACATCCTTTGCATTCGCTACTAATTTTCATGTCCTCGTGGATTTATCTTAATGCTTTCATTTCACATCATTAACTAATTCTTGTTAATAAGAAATTTACGCGTTGTTAATACAACGCTTCTGTAACTGTAAGCAGGATATTGATAAGCTTACTTTCAGCAACAGCTCAGAGACGCCGCAAGTAATAACCAGGCTCATTTTTTTTGTGGTGGCTGTTTTGTTTTTAACAAAACACTATAATGGAACCAGGTCCATCCTTAAATACCTTATACAAATTCGCTTGGTACAGTAATTCATATAACGACCTTTCAAAATGAGACGTTATAGGGCAAGTGGTTGAAGAATTGGTCCGAGCCGAACCATTTGCAATAGTGTTCGTCCTTGAGCCAAAACACGCCAATGTACCAAATTTCACCAAAATATCTCGAAAATACCGGCCTGCAAGTTCACCCGCTAGAACAGGACGGCCAGGCGGACAGCTTAAATCGTTTGAGAAAGCGACTCGAAATCGTTGGGCACAATAAAAGATGTTTTTACCTCAAGTCCTTCTCGATGTTTCCCAAACAGTACAGTAGCGTATAACGAACATTGGAGAGTCTTGTCGAGACTATTACTACGGAATACCGAATTCGGTACAAAGTAAAAGAACATATTATTTTCTCTTTTGACCAGTTACCAGTCACAACGCCAGAATACTATTGTCTATTTAATATTCTCTAGTCTACCTGCTTCCTATTATTACTCTGTCCTTTGATTTCCATGGAACGTTCTATTTTTGAACTGTTTTCTCTATATTTATATTGTCCATACATTTATATATGCAACGTGCCCCAATCTCAATAGAAGCGGAGCATTACGCGAGAGAGCAATGCGTTTTCATTGTTGAACAATATTTCAAAATTAATACAAATTTGGCGACCACAGTTCACAAATTGGTCGGAATATTGATTTAACTTTGTCAACTGTGAAGTAAATACTTGACACCACTGGACTTCATTTAATAGGGCTATTTAAAGTCCCAGATCTATGCCAACAAGACTACGATCATCCACATTTACAAAATGGTTCGGGAAAGTTTCGATAGAAGAGTGCATATGCATATGTACCAGCAAAGCCGTGAAGGCCATTTGCCCGATGGGACATTCCACACATAACTGTATCCTACGTACATTATGATTCAATGAAAAAATTTCAAATAAAAAAAAGAAACTGTGATTTTTTTTTAATTGAAATCTTGCGTAGATTTCGGGACTCCCTTTGTAAATTGTCCGTCTTAGGTAACTTCAATGGACTTGGCAAATATTTCAAATTTTAGATTATGTCCATCTGAAGGATTGATATCAATCTCTATATTGATAAATATACATATATATATATATCTAGGTATTTGAAGCATCAAATTTATTGTTAATAAAAATATTTAAAATTTAATATAAGTTATAATATAAACAAAAACTATAAATTTGTAATAAATTATAAAGAAAAACAAACGAGCAGTTGGTTAAATTTAAAACGTGAACGACTGTTAACAGATGTTTAACGATGAACAAACGAATGAACAACATCAACGAGCAAGCTAAGCTAGCACAACAGCTGATGTAAACAAAAAAAAAAAAAAAAAAAAAAAAAAAAAAAGTTACAAAAAGAAGAAAATGTAACGCAGACTTGATGGTATGAGAGTGAGGGGTTAAAAAAACGTTTTGAAGGCTCATAGATAAGAAAGAAAACGAGTTTTGCTTTTCTTTTTTGTTTTTCTGTAGTGATAAAGTGAATTTGGCATAAGCTTACTCTAGTTGCAGCTAATGCTATAATAAATGGCATTAATGGCATTAATGAGTTGAGCTGAACTGATTTTTTTCGAGCAAACAAGAGTTTAGAGCTAATATTTTGCAAAAAATTCATTAGCTGCTACGACTATTTATTTATTATTATTATTATTGTTTTTTTTTTTTTTTTTTTTTTTTAAGAAAGATGAAAGAAGAATTTTGTTAAAATTGTATAATAAATAGACATATAAAATGATTACTCGGAATTCAGTGTCGTTTAGCAATAAAAGCTAAAAACATTAAGCTCACCCTTTGATTTAGTTTGGGTTAGTAACAAATTGACGTTGCTGTTGTTGTTGTTCATGTTATTGCTTATCATTAGTGGAGGTGTGTGTGAAGTAGGTAATAAGCCGTACGATGTTGACGAAGCAAAAATGGGCGCTGTAGTGGCCACAACCCTCTCCCCAGGCGGCAAAGTCATATAGTTGGGTTGAATGGGTTGAATGGGTTGAATGGGTTGCATATGGCCCGGAGGCATTTGATTGTATTGCAAAAATGGATTTTGGTAGATACTCATAGTTGGCTGATGCTGTGCCGGTTGTGGTGGCGGCGTGCGAGCCGGAAATGTAACCATAGTATTCAATTGTTGTTGCGTTGGATACTGATAGTACGGTGGCGCTTGTACAGTTTGAATGGGATACTGACTTTTAATAGCCCCCTCGCCAAGCGCTGTCGTATGGTGGATATCGTGACTTTTATGTCTACTATCTACGACGTTTGGTTTGTAAGGATAGATGCCACCAGCATACTGTTGTCCCTGAGGATGTTCAATATTAGCTATTACTAATGCTGTTGTACGAGGTGGTGGTATATTGGGTGGTGTGGCAGCATAATATATTGTTGAGCCTTTCCAAGGCTCGGTCGTATAACGGGTATCCATAGCTGGATTGAATTGCAAATTTATTAAGCCGGACGATTTATCAAATCGCCTCTCATCAATCGGTCTAGGGATACCATCAAAATTTGTGGCATTTATGTATATCAACTTGTGCTTATCATCACGATCTAACTGCTGAGATGTAGGTAATTGATGATGGTGATGATGTGTACGGTGATGCTGTTGCTGCTGCTGTTGTGTTAATATTGCAGTTGTCATTGTTGCTTGTGTTGGCAGTGGCAAAATTTGTGACGGTGTTCCAGGATCAACCGGCTCCCAGGTGCGTGTAAATATTTCACCTAAACTCTCATCCGAATTGCTAGGCGTTAAATCGTGTACGGTTTCGTAAATAGGTTCAGTGGACAGATGACGAACAACATTCGCATCACCACTACCCGCTGGCGCATGTATAACGAATGGAGATTTTGTTTGCAATTTTGGTGCTTCCGGAGGGGGTATGTTCACATACAGCATATGATAGCTGGTGTGCAGGTCGTTACATTGGTATCTGCCCTCGTGCACTTTAAGAGCATGCCGTACCGAAATGTGGGCTTCAATTTTGTGCTTTTCACCTAAATTTAAGAGGGACCGACATTTTCGTCGCATGTAGATAAGAGAGTAAAACGTTTTTTACGTTTTATTTTTTAACAAAGAGTATGGTATCGAGATATTGGGTAAAAAAAAAAAAACAACTTTATCAGTCCTTGGAAGCGGATGTCAGAGAGCGCTATTATAGTTTAGGTCCAATCAGGAATATTTTTACGAAAATTAGAGATTTAACATTATATACAATAAGTCCACGCAAAAATGATCCATTTTTGTTGAAAACAAACTTTGCGAGCGAGTACAGGCCTTAAGCAGTTAAGGATTAGCGAAAAGATTAATAAAAAATCGTTTAGAAATCCAGCGATTAAGAGGATCAATAAAAACCTCAGGGCGAAAGTTGATATTCATATTCATATCTTTTGCAAGCAAAGCAAAGGTTCTCTTAAGTCAGGATAAGCGAACCGTGGTTATTATAATGAGAAATCGAAAAGACGAGCAAGGTTTATGAAAGCAAGTGTTGTTGGAAATAGCATTCGGTAAATAATTTTTCGTAAAGAATAGACGCGCAACTAAGCAAGCGGCTTTAACACGTAGAGGGCTCCTACAGCACGTTTAGTGGACACGCATGTGAGAAGTTCTCTCCCTTTATATCCTTGATATCTAGTAGCCACGCCAGTTGTAATACCAACACATACCATAGTGCAAAAATATTGTTTCTAACGACGCGAATGTCGAATTTCGTGTCAAATAATCAGCATTTGTGGGAAGCGTTGTTTTTGTGTTGTGACTTGAAAAAAGTAACTGAAGACAGTCGCTAGCGGGGGATTTGCACCTTCGAGATAGCTCTAGAAAATCGTATACAATAGGAGAAGCGGGCGAGCGTTACTGTACGAAGGTGATATGCGGGGGGTGTCTCAATGTTTACATACATTAGAAAAAAATCCAAAGGAAAGAATAGGAGCGGAAGTTGACGCAGAGACGGAGGCAAAGTCGAAAAGTCACTTAACGGTTTTTCTTCTGCGAGATGAAGTGTCTTCTACTGCGGGAAGTTGATATATGTTGAGAGATTCAAGCGCAAAAAATCGTAACTTTCAACACTCGACGCATCAATATTGGCGACGCGGTCCAACCGCTTCGAAAAGACGTCTACGAGCTGACGAAGCTGTCAAAGCAAAGGTCTAGCGACAAAAAATAATAAACATGAACTATGCATTGCCCAAAAACGTCCAGAAACGGACACAACACTCGAACGATTGATATTGGAACAAGACAATCCCTCATGTCGTCCCAGTCCCATCGTCGCAGATAGTTCCAAAAGGTGTAAATAACATCCGCAACCGCATCCGCTGTATTTGTTAGTTTCGATCCTTTCCCGTTTATTACTTAATACTGTCGATGGGAATGGGATGGCGGCTAACTGAGCTACACTCAGACAATTTCAAAAAAGTGAAAAATTAGATTGGAATGTTTTCAGCCCAAAGACGCGTTGTTTTGTCGTCCTGGTATCCATGTATTACCAGAGGGATTGCGAAAATGGGCAGCTTGCTAAGTTGCGCGTAGTTTTGTAAATAAATTCTACGCTATTTAAAATTCCCAGATAGGAACTTGATTTAAGAAATATGGGGGAAAACCCGTAAAGCGAAAGTGAAGTTTATATAACAATATATTTAAGGAGTATTAAAATTGCTTCGTGACAACATGGAGCGTTACGTTTCGTCACTCAATCAAGTTTCATCGAGACGTGAGATTTGTGATTGTACATAAGGAAGACGAGTACGAAAGCTTAACAGAACCCCCCCCCCCCCTTTCCCCCTTATAAGGAAGGAAAAAATATATATATAAAATCTATGCTGTAATGCATAGAAGTAATATGCAATTTCTTGATTTTCAACTTTGAATGGAAAATTTTAATTTTAAGTTGCTCGCAGATCTAACCATCTCGTCGGACTGGCTACGGAGGAAATGGGAGTTTGTTAAAAGCTTGTCTTACGTTTGTGGCCCGACCGAGATCGGCAGCGTTTTATGAAATCGATTCAATTGCATCCAATATGTAGCGCAAGTGAGATGAAGATATCTGTCGAGAGAGAATATACTCACCCTCTATTGCACTTTCGGATAAAATGTAGGAATGCTCATCTCGACCGTGTCGCAAATTGTGACGCGTTATAGGCTCATCATCTTTAAGCCAAATTATTGGATCCGTTACCGGTATAATGCAGGTAATTGAAAATGGCTCACCCAAATTAACCGACGAATCGCCATAATAAATCGCTGTTTCAAATTCAAATTCTGTCGAATCCTCAACAATATTTGCTACGGCGGCATGCAAGCAGGATTATAAATAGTTTTATTAAATCCAAATGAAAAGATCATTTCATTATATATTTTGCGATTTCGTTGTACCATTTCCATTTCGTTTCGAGTTATCATAATTGTATTCGTCGGATGAGTAAGTAGTGGTTGCAGTAACGACAGTGTTTTTGGTTTGAAAGGGGTTGCATGTTTGAACGGGATTTATATATAACATATATATATATGCATAAATTTTTTTTTATATTTAAAGTTAAAATTGAAGATTTTGCTGATTATTGTTGAATTTTTTTTTATTTTTAAAAAAAAATTTTTTTTTATTTAGCATTACGTTTTGTAACTAAGAAAAAAACGAAAATATATAGCAAAGAATATTAAAGAAAAGACAAAAAAAAAACAAAAGTAACTAAAATGAAATTCGAATTAAATATTACAAGAACAAAGGAATGTACAAAAAAGAAATGAGCTAATTATTTTAGACGATGTCTTTTCTGCTTTTGGGAATGTTATGGTTTTCTTTTTTTTATTTTTATTTACAATTTATTCATATTTGTAAATTTGATTAGAACTCTTTTTGTAGATGACGTATTTACTAATTTATTTTTTTTTTTTTTTTTTTTTATCAGCTCCAAGTTGAATGCATTCGCATTTTAAAGTACACTCTAAGTGATAAGAGGATTTTAAAGTAAAATTGAAGGGAAACTACGTACGTATTAAAGTATAATTAAAATGCACAAAAAACAATTACACTATAAATAAAAAAAAAAAGAAAAAAGAACGATAAAATATGAAACTAATATAAATTAAAAAGTAACTATGAGAGATGTTATAAAGTGCAGATATAACACACCGGTCAATATTTTTCGGGACTGAAACATTGATGTCCCCATTAAAGAAAATAATGCGAAACTACACTTGATGCCTGTTAAAATTTCATATTCTTCTTCTTCTCGTTCTTCTTCTGGAATTCAGCAAGAGATGATTTAAAAAAAAAATCAAAATTCGGCAGTTAACTCACGGAGGTTTTAGTGGCGTTACGTTTACTACTTTCAAAAGAATGGAAAAATCGGAATTCCGTATATTGATTGCATGTATTACACTTTGATGGGCAAGAGCATCGTTTATATGTTTGTATGAAGAGTATTATGGCGACTCTTCTGTGAGGAAACAGCCATTTAGCGCACTGACCGCTCAAGAGACGTAAGTCCAAACTAGAAAACATCAAAAAATCGTGAACGTGATTCCCACTAGAGGCTAGACTATTATCTCTTGGCAAAGGATTTAGCTCAGATGATGAGGTCATTGCAGAATTTGTAGAGTATTTTGAAGACTTCGCATAAACGTATCGAAATATTCGCAAAACTTTGAACTATTTATATCACTTGTGAAGAAGGCTCTGTGGCTGATTCCATAAAAAAAAGGAAATTGTCTTTTTGCCTAGTCCCGGAAATTATTGACCTGTCTTTACATTTGTTTCCAACCCAATGTAATTTTTTTTTGTTTTTTGTTTTTCTTCTTTATTACCACACCACACTTTATGATCAAACGCTATTGTGTCATCGTCAACACAATCAAGGTGGAGATTTCTATAGTTTGATAAACACATAGAACTCAAATTCAAACAAGGTCGAACATGTTTAATGTAAAAATAAAAAACCTGTGGGCAAAATTGATTAACAACGATCGAATAATTTCTTGTATTAAAAGCTTTCGGCCGGTCGATTGCATGAGGTCATATATTTGACGTACAACAAAGCTAACGCCAACACAAAAGAAAAAAGTTATTACTACAATGCAATAAAAATTATTTTAATAACTTAACGAACAGATACCGCTATTTAGTTAACCATATGCAGGCAGGTGGAAGTATTTTTCACCCACCGCCGGAGGACACACATATATATATATATATATAGACGCGATACACTTTGAGACGAATTAACTGTGCCCATCAACATGTTTGGCATCTGACAGAGGCTTTGTAATCATAAAAATAAAGCCTGCTTAGACTTAAATACAACTGAATTCCACTACCGAGGCACAAACGTTAGCTACAAATCTCACAAATTTAAGATTATTTAGTAAATATTGATTGAAGCGTTAAAGAGCGAGAGATGCAAGTAGGCCTTGTCTTGTCAAGAGGATAAGATATAGGTCGTTCCCAAACCTTCACGCCTAGTCCTCCAACCTGATACGGACCCTCTAAATTGTACGATTGTCTTGCCAACTGAGAGACGCAAGTTATTGTTTGCATTTAACTCACGAACCATTGGATTTCGCATGATTAAAGCTTCGTGTGAAGACGTTAACTTTTAAGAGTATCAATCAAAGTAATCAAAGTTGGCAGTATGAACGGAAGTTGTCTAGCTCCGTCATTTATTGCCATTAAAAAAATTATGTTTTGCGAAAAATTAAACCAATTTTATTTTCAGACCAATTGGCTCTATCCCCGACCACTGTCATTAGTGAGTTTTTCTATTCTACACCATAGGTGGTACAAGGGCACATTAAGTTTTTGCGGACGCGTGCAATACTCAGATGGATTTGAGGCAGACTCTCCTTTTAATGTACCGATCTAAACTTGTCTGTCCGCATGTTTATCCTATAGGTGGCAGTCTTTGAAATACTTTGATGGAATTCGGTACACTAACGTGTTCTGGCCTAATGACGAACGTCAGTAGAATTAGTTCGGATCGAATCAGTGTATAGTGTTTTTACTTGTTTAGTTATGAAGATAACCGCAAGACGCACAGAATTGTTTGTTTTTAAATGCTGCATTTTTCGATTGCCTTTGTAAATAAACGTATGAGGCATCACTTGTAATAGACATCTTCTACAGTTCGCAAGCTATCAATGACAATACCAATACTACCAGTACTAATACTTTCACTTTGTGTTTGAAGTGGTTTAGTTTTATTTGTTGGCGCAATTCTGGGATATCTGGATAAATTCAATAACAGCGAGTCGTAGGTAGGGAAATTCGTATTCATTGAGGTATCGTTTTAATTACCTTAGTAGAAGTTATTTAAAGGATTGCGGGCAGCCTCGATAAGATAAACTATATATTTTAAAACTTACTAGAATAATATAAAGATAAGAACCAAAAATAATCGGTACGGTTGCTTTGCTTGCACGAATTCAAGAAGCAATCAACAGCACACTTAAGAGTGTACATAATCAATTATTACTTTATCACCTTATAAATCTTTAAATGTAATCTCTTCTACCCTAGTGATAAGATAACATTAACTAACTGTTAGTGAATCGCAACCTAAATTAAATATGTATGTATGTAATCTATCGCGTGATAACTTTGCTTTTTTAAATGTTTCGCACACACATTGTATTTGCAAATATTAGCCACGTCTCGACAGAAAAACAAATTGATGTCTTTTCTTGTACGCAAGCTATGAAAAAAATCTATTTACAAACATACAAATGTATGTGCATTCATTCAAACATCAAGAAAAAGGAATGCGTAGACGTTTGCTAATTTTAACTGCACAGAACATGAGTTTTTTCCTCTTCGCATTTCGGTTTATTGCACACATGCATAGCATGTGTATAAAAAGAATGTATGAAGTGAGATGTGTATAAATTTCTATGAAATCAAATGAATCTCCACAAGAGCAAGCTATGTATATCTTTCAGAAACAGTAGGCCTTAAATTGTCAGCAGTAGCGTGTGATTGATTTTTTTTTTTGGTCAAATTTAACGCAAGTGCCGAACACTGAGTGTTTTTTTGTCGCAGTATAAAATTGAATCAATTGTATCTTTATAGAAATGCTTCAGTTTTGTTTAGCTGTGTAAATGATGTCAAGTTTTCGTCTAAAGGTTTATTTTTTACTGCAGGGGGTGGAATTTTAAGAAATAGGTCTACATGATCCAAATTCAGTTAGGTTTTCACAGCGAAATTAGGCCTTTTCGCCATATAAACATTTGATTTTCGTAGGAATGGCTCATTCCATTCAGATTTTCCTCAGTGAATATCGTCCCGCAGTTCTCAAAATTACAACTTTTTTCCTGTAACGACGTTTAAAAATATTCATGGAGCGTGGTCGAAAAAACGGACCGATCCAGACCATTTTCAATAACGTTCGTGCTTGGATCAAAACACGACAATGTGCCGAATTTCATCAAAATATTTCCAAGTTTGTGATTTTTAGATTCAAACGGCCAGATCGACAGACAAGATCAGATCGATCGGTATAATAAAAGGGAAGGTCTGTCTCAAATCCTTCTGGGTATTGCATACATCCAGTTAAATACATACAGTTAAATTTAAATATCAATTATAGCATTACTGAATGCCGTGAAATGAATGTGCTGTTAACTGAAAGTCGAATTCGTCCAAGTTTCTAATAAAGTCATTTAAAATGCCGGAGTTCATACGGAAAAAGGTCCTAGAGTTCTAATTAATAAAATTAGTATCTAATTTAATAAAAAAAATGTATTCAAAGTGCATAAAAAGTTATATACTAAATATGAGAATTGATAATTACGATTTCCAAACAAAATCGGTACGGGGCAAAGAGATGAAAAATTATTCTTCAATAACTCCATTACTAATCATTTTCAGAAAGAGAGACAGAGACAAAAAAAAAAAAAAAAAAAAAAAAGAGAGAGAGAGAGTGAGAGGGTGGCGGGAATAATGTAAAGTATTTATTCGGACATATATCAATTTTGTTACGATTGCGATAAAAATCGTTGACATCCGGCGACATTTTTCTACGTATTAAAGAGGAAAATCATCACAGCTCGAAACAAATAATATATATTCCGACACGGTGGCCAACGGGATGGCGTGAATATTACGTCCCCTCTTCAAAGTCGCTCACAAGTTAATTGCAGGTATCCGCAACTCACCAATATATATATATTTAGCAAGTTTTATTAAGTGGGCTTTCATTGAAGATCTTTAAGTATCGTGCAATACATCTGCCGACTAGACAATATGCACCCGGCGTAGCAAAGCAAACAAAAATTATTTCGCAGCATAGTCT